GGTACACCTCAGAGGCAGAGAAATGTACTTAACCCAAAGAGCCTGGGTCCTACCCTCAACATCCAAAATTTTAAAAAAAGCAAACAAAACAGCTGGGCGGTGGTGGCGCACGCCTTTAATCCCAGCACTCGGGAGGCAGAGGCAGGCGGATCTCTGTGAGTTCGAGGCTGGGCTGGACCGACAACCTCGAAAACAATACAGAGACCTCCTGTCTCGTAAAAACCAAAAAGAAAAAAAAAAAGAAACAAAACAATAACTCTCAGCAAACCACGAGTAAACTGGCTCGTTCCCAATTACAGTTATAAACAGCCCCGCTGGTCAGGCCGGACTGGAGACACAGCTCATTCATGCTCCCCGTCCTGTGATGCTTGCTCCAGCCCGTCCCAGCCTCCAGCAGGTACCACTCTAGGAGAGCCACAGCTGGCCAGGACCAGACAGGGCCCCTCTGTGAGGCAGTCCTGAGTCAGAGCACATTCAGGGGTTTCAACTTGTTTCCAGGTTAGTCCCTTTTCCCTTTTTTTAATGAAAAGGGGCTTTTGTTCTGCACAGCCTTTGTTTGGGGAGCTCAACTAATGAAGGGGTCATTTTATTGGAATGAGTTACTGACTGAAAGCCATCAGCCGGAGGACAGCCCTCCAGCTTTTCTTCAACAAGGTAAATGGAAACAAGGGTTGGGAGTCAAGGGCACTTTGTGGAGTTCGCTGCCGTCAGCAACTCGAAGGGTCTGGTTATTAGTTAATGTGGAAACCAGCGGGGGTAGTTACATAAAGCACTGAAGACGACTTATAACAGAAGGCCTCCCTTCATCCATGGAAAAACACCAACACAGTAGGGCCTGTTGGCTTCGAGTTCGAAACAGAGAGATCTTCCTATTAAACGACTAGATCTCCGTTACTAGGAATGGGGCCTCTGTAATGGTGGGTTCAAGCTTACCTTTCTGAATTGAGAGCACAAACCCTGAGTTAAGCCAACCAAATGCTGGGGATAGGGCGGGGGCCATTCGCAAGAAAATCATGTTCTCTAAGGCTCTGTGGGCTTCACTTAACCGTGGAATACTTATACATACTTCAGGGGCTGGAAATGTAAGTAGAGCCCTTACCTAACAGGCAGAGTCTGGGTTCACCCCAACCCCCCAGCACCGAGCATATAGGGTGTGATGGTGTACACTTGTCAACCCAGAACTTGGGAGGAGGAGACAGGAGGATTCCAAGTTTAAGGTCATTCTTGGCTATGCTGGGCATCAGAAGGCAGCTTGAGCCAAAGAAACAAAACTTTAAAAGACATTTTTGTCAGTGGCTGAGGGTATAGTTCCATGGAGGACTGCTTACCGGAGATATACAAGGCTCTGGGTTCTATTCCGAGAGCATAGAGAAACAGTTCTTTAGATGGGACCTCAGGGGACTTAGACAAAACACTGTTAAACCAGAACACGGCTGACTTGCTTTCCCCACGTCTAACGTGCATGGCCCTAACACATTCGTGAGGACTCATGGGTGCACACAGAACTTAGGCCCACTGTTTCCTCTCGCTTTTCTGGGACTCCACAGCCTAAGCACAATTAAATGTCTTTAGATGAGTCAGCGTTTTGCAGCTGGCCTCTTCCAGAATGTTGGTGTTTGCAAACAGTGGCATGGAATGTGGCATTTAAATCAATTGGCCGTGAACTCTTGAGCATTCAAGGGCGTTATTAAGGGCCGATAAAGTTAATAGGAACCGGGTAAGAGACAAGGCACCCTCTTGATACCGTCGGAGGGCATCTAACGCCCATCAGTTCTAAGTGACTAGGCAGCAAGTGCCCGTGGGCAGAGGGACCAGTGCCCAGCTCTGGGCATAGCGCTGATTACAGTCCGGAGACTGGCTCTTTGCTGAAAGGCAAGGGAGCTATGGCACCCTGCCATTTCTACCGTTTACAGTCAGCATGGAGAGCTGAGCGGATGGCTCCATCGTAAGGTGCTGGCTACGTAACCAGCAGGAACACGGTTCGGATCCCCAGCACCCACAGAAGCCAAGCATGGTGGCACGCACCTCTGATCCCAGCACTGGACGTGGGTGGGCAGCAACAGGCGGATCCCTGGAGGTCCCTGGCCAAGTAGCCCAGCCTAATGCACGAGCTGCAGGTTCAGCAAGAGGCTGAGGCCGTGTGTCAAAAAACTACTAGGGCCGGTGAGCTGAGCTGACTCATGCGGTAGAGGCACTTACCGTGCAAACCTGGTGACTGGAGTTGTATCCCGAGATCCCACATCAAGAAGGAAGACCAGATTCCACAAAGTTGATCCCTGACCTCCCACCAGGCACAGATACATAGTAAAAAACAATAAAATAAAAGAAAAAGAAAAAAGAGTGGTTAAGGAAGATATTCTATGCCAACATCTGGCCCACACACACACACACACACACACACACACACACACGCACACGCACACGCACACGCACACGTGCACAAAACCAAGCATGAATGTGTCGTTCATTGTATTTAATACATTTTCAATACTTAAAAGCAAAATAAAACAGGGTCTTACCATGTAGCGGGACCTCGCCCGGAACTTGGCATACTGACCTCATAGATGTCCGCCTGCCTCTGCTTCCCATGGGCTGGGATTAAAGACATCCAAAGTCACACCTGGCTACAGATGTCATTTCTATGACAGGGTGACTTACAGAAAAAGGGGGCCAGCAAGATGTCTCAGCAGGAAAGGGTACGTGAGCAAGGGCTAGTAAGTCCAAACTGCAAAACTCCAGAGTTGACGGAAACTGCCCCCTAAAGCTATCTCTGCCTCCTTACACTAGCCACAGTGTGAGCTCATAAGCACATACATCATGACAGAAATATCACTAGGGGAAAAAAAAGGACACAAGGCTCCTAGTTTGTGAAGCAAATATCCTAAAGACCTGTCTTGCTGAACTCACCGTTAGGACTATGTGGCATCCTTTGCAAAACACCGATTTCAGGTGCTTGCTAAGCAGAACAGCTAGCCGGGAGGGCTGGGCGGTGAGCGCATGCTTTCCAGAAGGTCCTCTACAGCAAATCTACCGCCTTCTGGCTTTGTTCCTCCACACAGGTGAGCAGCTGTGACCCAGCGTTGCCCCTGACTGCACATTCCCATTCCCTCCTCCCTGGCTCCAGGGAACCAGGGCCCCTGTCCTCCTATTATAGGGACTCTCCTGTGTTAGCTGAGCACGAGCAGGCGCAGGCAACACCGGTGGCTATCGTGAGGACTGAAGCACGTGTACAGAGGAGACAAACTGTACCACTATCTGGCTGGTTTTCTGTGAGTGAGCTTTTCGTAAGACCTGTACCTCAAAAGTCTTTGAAGAGAATGAAGGGCCAGGGTGTAGCCATTTCCTAACTCAGTGACAGTGGCTACTGCCTTTTCTATTAGGGGCACCTTTTCTTTCTTTCTTTCTTTTTTTGTTTTTGGAGACAGGGTTTCTCTGTGGCTTTGGAGGCTGTCCTGGAACTAGCTCTTGTAGACCAGGCTGGCCTTGAACTCACAGAGATCCACCTGCCTCTGCCTCCCTAGTGCTGGGATTAAAGGTGTGCGCCACCACCGCCCGACTTAGGGGCACCGTTTCTAAGAGTACTTACAAGTTCTCCAATGTGCAGAGATTTACCCCTACCGGCCGTACGTCCGTACCCCCAGAATGCCATTTTGAGTAGGAAAACATTAGTGTGAGCCCTTCTTTCCCCAACTATCAGAACCTTCCGTAAACAGTCAGGGAGAAGCCCAGGGTGAGGACCCAGAACTGACAGAAAGGGACAGTGTGCGCCAAGCAGTCCTCTCCTCTTGCCAAGTGTAGTGACCCACGTGTGTAATCCCGCACCGGGGGACAGACGCGAGCCTTGACTGAGTCCGGCCTAAGCCACATAACCAGATCCAGGACAGCCAGGCTACAGAGACGGCCGGGAATGGAGTTCAGGGGACAGGGGTGCCCACCTAGTGCACAGAACCCTAGATTTGACCTCAGTGCAGCATAAGCCGGTGGTGTCACGGTGGGGCACACTCATAAACCGGCACTCAGGGGGCAGCTGAGGAACCTGTGCCAACTTGTGGTACTTAGACACGGTGCCTATAGGGAAGGAGAGAGGGAGAGAGGGAGAGGGGAGGGGGGAGGGAAAGGGGGAGAGAGAGGAAGGGGGAAGAAGGAAGAGAGAGGGAGAAGGGGAGGGGAGGGAGAGAGAGACAGAGACTCATCCTGTAAAAAAGGAAAGGGAAAGAGGCTACCCTTGTGGGTCTGTGAATTACGTAACTAATATCTAACAGGTGAAGAGGCTGCCTCCCTCCCACAGGCTGATCCAGACACCCAGTAACCTACAGTACACCCTCCACACTCTCCTGGACAACACCCTTCCTCCTCACAGACAAACACAGGAAATGCAGCTTGCCACTAAGATGCACAGGACAGCCAGGCCCAGGCGTCTTCCAGGTGAATTCCAAGTCCTTTCTTTCACACACCATCTCTGTCAGCGCCCCCCACTGACATCACCAAGAAAAGAATGAATCTGATTATATTCCCAACAACGATACCAAAAGCTTGTGACCCACTACAAGTTGGAGAAACTTATTTTATTATTATTATTAATAAATTTGTTTTTAAAACATTTTTCTATTTATTGGCGACCCTATCATCTTGGCGCAAAAGTGTACCATATGCAACCAAAACTCCAGCCCACGAACATAACGTGACCACTAAAGGATGTATGGTTCTATTCTTAGTATTTGTTCTTAAGAAACAATCCCAGAGCCCTGACCCTCCCTCCACAGGCCATGAAGGCTGCAAGGGCTGGTGTGGGATTCTCAGAGGTACAACACTCCCAAATGCCACAGGAAGCACCCCATTCGCTTGCTTTAAACTAAAACAGTACAGAAGTCAATATTTTAGCAAATCTAAACGTGTGATTCTGGCCCTTTGTGTCTTCAGCGATCCAAGGTTAAGCAGCATTGTGCCAGTCAAGCAAAAAATAAACACAGACACCTCAAAAAAAAAAAAAGGCAGTGTAGTAAGAAGAAAGTCAATTTAATCATTTGCTTTAGCAGGCAAGCGATGTGTAAACATTCAGCCAGCAGCCGCATCCAACTTACAGTTTAAAAGGAACTGAGATCAGTGATTATAACTTTTTCCTTCCCTTTCCCCTGAAGAAGAAGAAGAAGAAAAACAAGACAAAACAAAACAAAAAACAAAAAACCTAAAAGAGTTAAGAAAAGACTTGGAAACAAATGACTTAAAACACTACAAAACATCGAACATTCGGTTTTGTCGCTCTCAGCCTCTGTGCAATCCCCGCCGGGTTTTGTTTTAAAGGGCGCGCATCTAACTCCTAAAATGCGTTTGTCTCGTCGTCGTCGTAACTTGCGACACGTGAGCCTCTGCAATCCAGGAAGCCGTCCTCTCGAAGCACGCAGGCGGACGTCGCGCCCGCGCACGCACGCTTCTGTTTAAATCCCATTCGCAAAGGGGGCGCTGGTGTCTTGATTCAGCGCCTCTCTGACTTCCAGGGGCAGCGTGTCAAACAGCTGGTCTTCCACAACGAGCCCGCTCTTCCTGAGCATCCGACACTGGCCCAGCTGGGCTGGCAGGCGGTCCAGGCAGTTCCCCTTCAGCTCCAGCTGGGTGAGTTGGGAGAGCTGACCGATTTTCTCCGGGAGGGAGGAGACGCAGTTCTGCCCCAGGTTCAAAGTCCTCAACCTCACGCACTTAAACAACTGTTTCGGCAGGGTGTCCACTTTGTTCCCTGTGATGTGCAGGTGCTGCAGGCCCTGGAGCAGGCCTATCTCTATGGGGAGGGTGGAAATGTTGTTGTAGCTGACGTCCAAGCATCTGAGCTTCTGCAAGCTGAACACGGCGGCCGGCAGGGACTCGAGCTTGTTGTTGGAGAGGTAAAGGGACTCTAGGTTCTTGACGTGGGTGATGGAGGGCGGAATGGCCACAATCCTGTTGTGCCACAGCTTCAGGCAAGTCAGCCGCTTCAGGTGCTGGAAGCTGATGACCTCCTCGATGGTGCGGATGTTGTTTGACTTCAGGTCCAGCTCCTGCAGGTTGGAGAGGCTGAAGATGGCGTGGGGGATTCTCTCCAGCTCGCAGTTGTGTAGCTCCAGCTCGGCCACGTTCATCATCTTCTTCAGGCTGTTGAGCACCAGGAGCTTGGTGCCGTCGTTGTGGATGACGAGCCTCGTGAGGTGCGGGGCCACATCCGTGATGTTGGAGGGAACTTTGGTCAGATTGCTTTTCACGTGGAGGACCTTAAGGTGCCGCAGCTCCCGCAGGGACTCGAGCCCGATCATCTTGTTGTTTTCCGAGTTCAGGTTGCCTATCAGATACAGCTCACGAAGGTTTTTGAGCAAATACACCCAGGCGGGAATCTCAGCCACGTCGGTGAACTTCACGTGGAGGCACCTCAAGTGATCCCGTAGGAAGCTGAAGGCGGTCTGTTCGACCTTGGCCGGGCAGTGGCACAGGTGCAGCTCCTGGAGGTTGGTCATCTGGGAGATCTTGGCGGGGATCTTCGCTTCCGGGATCAGCTCGAGTTTCAGCACGTCCAGGTCTGTGAGGTCAAAGACGGCGTCGGGCACCCCCGACAGCATGAAGAGGTGCAGTTCCTGCTTGTCCTGGGCGTTGCGAGACACGTGCTGCCTGAGCTTCTCAAAAGTCCACTCGTGGTTCAAGCTGATCTCCCTCAGCTTGTTCTCGCTGACCTCCGACAGGAACACACCGAAGCGCTTGGAGTAGAGCTGGTCGTACTGGTCTACCATGTGCAGGAGGAACGCAAAGTCGTTCTTGACGTCCGGGATGTCACTGAAGCTGCTCTCTTCCCGGACCTTCTCGAAAGAGTACTCCTTCAGAGGGATGCGGAACAGCCAGAAGAGGGTGTAGAGGCAGATGAAGCCGTAGACACAGATGATGGAGATGTAGCTGATGAGAAGCTTCTTCAGCATGTAGGCCATATTGTGTGTGCACTCAAACACCTCGTACCCCGTCAGGTGCTCGACTTTCGGCCTGCAGACGTGCTCAAAGCTGATGGCGTTGACGAAATTCGCGGTGTAGCAGAGAATGAAGATGAACTTGGCGGTTTTGATGAGGGTCTGGACCACGTAGAGCTTATAGATCAAGTCACTGTCTTCGACATGGGCACGGAATTTCCTCACTTTCTCGAACAGGGCTTTGGCCTGCTCCCCGTCCTTCTTGTCCAGGATCGTCATGCTGGGGACTTCGATCACCGGTTTCTCGGCCGAGAACTTGAAGCCAGGCTTGTTGATCATGGGGGTGCTGGCGCTGGGGCTCCCCTCGTCACTGCTGGTGGACACGTGCTTTGGTAGGGTCTGGGCACCTGTTAGTCTCTGCTTGTTTTCCTCGGAGTCTTCACAGGCTGTCTCGGACAACGCTTTAGTCGTCCAAGGAGATTCGAAGCACTTTCCTAGTATCGAAACGAAGTGCTCGACTTTGGAGCAGGTTTTAGGGTACTTGAACCAAAAGTTGCTACTGACCATAAGGATGATGGTGTGTATGAGAGCAAGGTACGGAAAGTACTTGGAATACCAAGGGAGGGCCAGATGGTAACACATCTGGTTGATAAACACGTACTGCTGAAAATCCAAGTTGGTTTTTCGGCCCGTTGGGTCTCTCTTGTCCTTCTTTGCCTCCTGACTTGGGAAGGTGGGCTCAGCGCGAGGGTGGGTGGCTTGGAGAGGCACGTCAGGCGTCACAGCGGAGGTGCCGAAGGGAACGTCATCTGTCGTCCGCCCGCTTTGGTCCCAGTGCGTGGCTGTTTCCATCTTGGGGACTTCGGCGGTGACGTCAGCATTTCTGGGTGGTGTGTGCGCCTTTGGATTGGCGGGTGACGGCAACACCGGCAAACAGACCACCTGATCTTTGGTAAGTTGCATGGTCCCCGCGAAGATGGCTACCATCAGCATAACAACCGCCAAGTAATCCATAAACACGTCCCACCATGGCTTCAGGATTCGGTAAGTTGGCTGAATGTCATTAAGTGAAGCAACTTCTGCGAGGGTGAACATTCCTGAAAGACACAAAGAGAACAAAAGGCATCGTTACGCAGGGCGGCGTTAGGAGTTGACAGGAGGCAAGAGAGGAAATCTCCACACTGGCTCAGACTGATGTCTCCTCAACCGGGTCTCGAGTTTGTATCCAAGACAGCTGTACCAGAAGATAAACTAATGGAAGGAAGGGCTGGGCTCTGGGCGAGGCGGGATGGAGGTCTACAAAGTCTCTTGCTGGCCTAGGACCTGAAGAGAGGTGGCGGTGGCATTTATATACTGGACTGAGAAGATTAGGACTCAAAAATGGAGACAGGGGAATGAGGCCACGTGTTGTGTCTGAATAAATCTAACGTGCCATGCCCAACCCTTAACCTCTACATAGCTGTACATTCCGGATTGAGACCTGCCACTTCCCAAAGGTGGGAGTCTCCACGCTTTGTGCTACCATCTGTGTATACTGGGGGTGTCGTCTAAGGATGGCTGCAAAGGTTAATTAGGTAGTGAATGAAAGGCTCTTTTTTTTTTTTTTTTTTTTTTTTTGGTTTTTCGAGACAGGGTTTCTCTGTATTGTTTTGGAGCCTGTCCTGGAACTCGCTCTGTAGACCAGGCTTGGTCTCGAACTCACAGAGATCCACCTGCCTCTGCCTCCCGAGTGCTGGGATTAAAGGCATGCGCTGCCACCGCCCTGCTGAATGAAAGGCCCTTAGCACAGCTTGGACCTCAAGTATTTGTTAGCTGTCCATGTTAGCAAACACTGCCCTTTTAGACGGATTCCACGGCCAGCTGGAATTAGGGATCTAAAACTCAGGCAGAGTTCGGCTGGGGAACCCAGTTCATTTCATAGAGTGCCTGCTTGCCTTAGCATGGCCTCCAAATCCTGACCTTCCTGCCCCCCCACCCGGCTTCTTTCTGGGTGCTGGATGGCATGTGTAGGCCACCGTAGGGGGTTTACGCTGCTAGGGATCGACACCAGGGTTTTCTGAACGCCAGGCAAGCACTGCACCACAGACCCTGCACGACTGTCTCCCCGTCCTGCCCCCCTCACCAGGTGTGGGGATTAACAGCGGTTTTAAGTGACACTGCAGCTTTTAGGTAATTATGTCAACACAAACCGGAGAACCGGAAACATCCAAACCACAGAGCTACACGTATGCTCTGTGAAAAAAAGACATACACCTAAACCTCAAGGACTGAGTCTGAAATGCCTCCTAGTGCTCATCCTGCACACGCGCCTAGGTGACGTCATGCCCACTCGGACCTCTTTTATACTGAATCTCCTGTGAGCATCTTTTGTGTGTGTGTGTGTTTTAACCTTTCATGACAGACTTGGGAGCCAGAGCAGGAAGAAGGGTTTCTGGAATTACAGTAAGCCAGAGTAAAAGAAACACAGCTCATGTTTGGGTCTGGGGACTGAGCGAGGAATGAAAATTTGACAGCTCTGTCCCGAGAGCACTGGCTGGTGGCTTTTATGCCTCCATCACCGCCTTCACACACCGCCCTCTGCCCCTGAGTTAGTCCTTCTGTTAGACTTCTCTCCCGCAGCTAGGTAATTTCCAGTTAGATTTCCCCCCTCTCCCCTGCGTTCTCTTCCTGGAACTCCTCCCCCAGGGTCTGTGCAGCTACAGGTCTGTGTCTCCCTTTCCTCTCCGGTTCAGGTTTGCAGATGTGCTCCTGCCAGCCACCGTGCCAACACTACTGTCTTCACAGCCGGCTCATCTGACCCCCCCACCCCTCCCCTCCACATTACAACCCCAGTGAGGGCAGGGGCTGTGGCCATTTCCTTTCCTTGTTCTGTATACAGACATGGTAGGTGCTTGGTCAGCGAAACGAAAGCATAAAGGCTCTGAGGGTATCTACTAACTGCATCTGCGGGGGTGGGGTGGGGCAGCTACAAAACTGAACTGCCCCTGCAAAGCAACCTGTGACCATGCAAGAATAGAGACTCCAGGACGGGCCTTAGCATGGCCACGCAAGAGAAACTGTGGAGTTTTACGGTGCGGTTTCACAGCTGTCAAGTTCCTTCAGTACCGTTCCAGGCGCCTCATCCTAGGAACGGGCTTCGATTTCCCAGCAGACAGAAAAACGCAGAAAGCCCCGCTCCTAGCATGCTGACCGACGGTACCGGGCTACCTTCTAATCATTGAGCTCCTTACTTGCTCTGGTATCCACCACGGCCTACTGAAAGCACACAGGGGCACGTAGTGACAACAGCCAGCCCTTTCCATCTTCCTCCCGCTGACCAGGCACTGTCTCAGCAGAGTCACACAGGCTCTCACCCCCGTTTTCCTACAGAACTGGGGGGGGGTCCTGAAAACAAACCTACCACGGGAAGTTTAGAGTTTCATGTCTTAGTTACTTTTCTACCGCTATGACAAAAAGAACCCACAAAAAACCAAAACAACAACAAAAAACCCACCAGGACGAAGGCAACTTATAAAAGATTTAACAGGGGCCGGCCATGTTTACAGTTTCAGAGCGCCAGTCCATTGATGGGGGATGGCCTTCTGTATATATGCTTCTCTTATTGGTTGATGAATAGAAGAACACTGTTTGGCCATTGGCCAGGCAAGAAGCATAGGTGGAGCTGCCAAACCAAGGAGAAGGTGGGAAGAGAGAGAGAGAGAGAGAGAGAGAGAGAGAGAGAGAGAGAGAGAGAGAGAGAGAGAGAGAGAGAGAGAGAGAGAGAGAGAGAGAGAGAGCGCAAGGAGATGCCATACAGGCTGCCAAAGGAGTAACATTCTCTGGGTAAGCCAAGACCATGTGGAAATACATAGATTAATAGAAATGGGTTATTAAGACAGAGCTAGCCAATAAGAAGCCCTAGCCATCGGCCAACAGGTCAATAATTAATGTGTCTCTGTGTGCTTATTTGGGGCTGAAGGGTGGTGGGACCCAACAGGACAGAAACACTCGTGTACAGTCCACGGCATTCACCGCCGGGAGCACGGCAGCAAGCGGGCAGGCAGTGATGGAGCAGTAGCCGAGAGCTCACCTCTGAGTCACGAGCATGAAGCAGAGGGACGGGGTCTAACTGGGAATGGGCATGGGGCGTTTCAAATTCCAAGTCCACCCTAGTGACACACCTCCTCCGACCAGGCCACACCTCCTAATCCTTCCCAAGCAGTCTGAGCACTCAAACATACGAGCCTACGGAAGCCATGGGCTTTCAGCATCTCTCGGGGCTGCGGAGGTGTTCTAAGGATGTGTACTAAGGACGGAAGAAGCAAGGAGATTTAAGTCGCGGAAACCCAAGGGTTGGTACTGGGGTCTAAGGCTGAAGCAACGCCCTTTCTACGCTGTTTCTTGTGTGTGCGGTACTTCATCCTGTGCAAAGGGCTTTCCCACAGAAGCTCGATTGCCCTCACAATAGCCCATTGATTCAGGCATTATTACTGCCTACCCCCACAGGGACGCAGGAGGCACAGAAAGCTTAAGTGACCTCCCTGCGCTAATCAGACGAAGGCAACAGAATCTTTCAACTCCAGATCTTTCTCTTTGCCAGTGTCAACCCTTGTTAGCAATGGTTGGTTGCTGTAGGAGGGGGACTTCTCTCTGTTGCCCTCGGCTTTGAGGACAGAGGACACTGAAATGGGGTAAAAAATCACCATCGCCACTAGGGTAATCTTTTATGACCTTCACACAGGATGCAAGGACCTCACCAGCCATGAGCCAGGTACCATGCACAGGGCTTGTCTTTTAGAACAGTAACTTTATCAAGTTCACAGTGCAATCCTCCCTCCCTCCCTCCCTCCCTCCCTCCCCCCTCCCTCCAGTTTTGCTAGAGTTGTTAGGTTCTCACACAGCTCAGAGGGTCTCGAGCTCCATATCCTCCTCCTTCCACCCCATGAGGGCCGGGAAGACAGGTATGGCCCCATCACACCCAACAAGCATTTCTAAGGGGCTCTGTTAAGAGAGCCTGGCTCTTACATCCCATGGATACATTTGTAAACCAGACGCCTCAGACCTCAACTGCTGGCTTCCCCTTATGTTCACTGGCCTTGATTGTGCTCCTAGAGTACACATGGTTTTGCCTGAACTGGACTAGAAAAACAAACAAGCAAACACACACACACACACACACACACACACACACACACACACACACACACACACACACACACACACAAACCCTGCAGCTTTCCCCAGCCCCAGAAATCCATAGCCTTTCCTTCCACTCATCTTTGAGACAGGAAGCCTCTCCGTGCACACATCCTAGGATATCTGCTTAGGTCCTGACCCCTGAGAAGGCCGGTTCCTATCCCTAGCTGTGGGAGACTTCTAGAATGCAATGCCTGGATATTTCAGCTGGATGCCTGCTTATCCTGCTGGCCTTAAAACCTTTTCAAAGGCAGGCTAGAGAGAGGCAGGCACGGATACAAATCCTACTCCTTCGATAGGGAATTTAAGTTAAAAAGGCTCCTGGGTGGTGTGTCAGGAACCCTTAGCCCCTGGGACTGAGTTGTATGCAGAAGGGAACACTGGTTGCTGTGACATCTGCACAGCCTTCAGTAGTGTCCCTCCAGTTGCCGAGAGCTCCTCCCCTAGCAGGTAGTTTCCTTTATCTGCATGTCCCCAGGGCACAGCCCAGGCTGGTGGCAGAATGAATCACACAGAGATCCAACTGCACGCCAGGGGCAGGCTCATTAGATACCAAACCCAAACCCAATGCTGCCAGCAAGAAAAAGGTCACAAGTAATTACACCCAGATGAAACCGATTGGCGCTGACGGGCATTTCTCAACATCCAAAAGGACAACACATTATAGATCTCTGTAACAGGTTGTTCTGCAGTTAACCCGTTGCAGCCAGCCATCTGCAGGCAGCTTGGGAAACAACGGCAGAGGTAAATGCAGGCATGTCCTCCACAGGAGAGAAGACCAAGTCCCTGACTGCTAACAGAGTGATAAGCCCATGATCCCCGGGACAGAAGCCAAGAGACTTAGCACATCAGAGGTGACACTACATCAAAGGCCAGAGAGAGACACTCCAGAGGGCAGCCTCCTGCCACTGCCGGTTTCCTT